GGAGCGCCAATATTTCGACGGTGTGTACAAACAGCATGGTGGATGGGCCCCGTTCATCCCCGGTTGGGCAGCAGCTTGTGCGAGTGCAACTTATACTTGTGCGCATTTGCATGTATATGTACTTGCATACACTTGTTTCATCCTTGTAGCGGTGTTGTATTCCGGGACATCTCCGCACCCGCACACGATGTGATCGGCAGTCTAGGGGTGGTAAAAGTGCACTTTTTGTCGCTGACCAAATTTTTGGAGGAAAAATTGTCGCCACTGGCAGTAATGCGACACCAGATGGACAAACTGGTCATGCAGTCCATGCCAAGTAGCGTCATTAGTAATCAGCCTATCATCGAAAGTCTCTTTCATCACTGCAATTTTCAATATCACGCACATAACCGAAACGTTCAGTCATACGTTACCCTTGAACAAATGTCAGGATAAGTGCTGCTGCCAGGAAAGCAGGCGCACTTGTCCTAAACTAATGAAATAGCCCAGTCACAACAGGAGCTTTCGGGACTTGCCGCGGCGTCACGTTTAAACTCGATCTACGGCTGGATTTGCTTTCCCCGGCCGCAAAAAAGCAGCGAAGGACCTCGATAGCCGGGGCAGCAGAATGCATGACGGATTTCGAACCAGTAGCAACCGGCACAGGGAATGACGTGAAATATGGGGGCCCCACGAGGTCACGCCCCTTATGAAAATCATGGTTGCGCTTCGAGCCCCTTCTCTACCGTTATCAAAATATCCACCTTAGGCATGCTCCAAGCCTGGCGCCACATGTTTTGACTGGTGGGCGCATTTCGCCGCGCCCCAACAACTGTATCGAAATTTGTCAATAACTTCACATCAGGCGGATAGCTCTTTCTAAACAAGTCACTCGCCCTGACAGGAGGGGGGAGGGTGGGCGATGCGATCCCCCCCCCCCCCCACGGTTTTCTGAGGATAATAATGCGGCATATTGTGCAGTCCTGCTCAAATCTTTGGTAGCCTCTGGGCCACCCATCGTACGCGTGATGACAGAAAAAAAGTGCCCCCAGCAATTCTGGTTTCACAATAGCGATGTTTTTTACGACATTGCAAGATGATTCGATGCCGGCGGATGCTGGGGGAGCAAGCGACGATTCTGCGGACCGCGCGCGGAGGGTTACATGTTTCATGAACGAAACCCCTATATTATAGACAAAGGCTCCAAACAGATAAAACTACACGCCATTCTACTCATAATCAAACAAGGGACACGCCTCTTCATGTTTCATGTCACTCAACGGCATGGTTTTGTATGTATGGACGTGCAAAGCTGCTGTTTGATTTTCAGGAAAATTTTACCTTCGAGTTGGTCTAGTGGGGTCAGTTAACAACAGGAGACTTCTTACCAATCACGAGATCTCGCTTAAGACAGTTCACTGTTTGCTTTTTTGCGAGGTTTTAACTTTCTTAGTTTGCAAACGTCAGGGAACCCCCCCCCCCCCCTTCTTCCACCAGTCCGCGTCACAAAAACTGGCGAATCAGGGTAGGCGTTGAAGGGATTCGCTGTCATGGCTTTTTATTTTTTATATGTGCTGGTGTAAAATCTGCATTTCAGATAATAAAAACATCAACTACTACAGCAGAATGACACATTTCATTACCAACATCCAAACATGGGTAGACACATCCGGACACCGCGTGGCAGGCCCCCGGCGCCGCATCCACACTGCATCGCCGGCGCGAAAGGACAATGAGACGGGCTTCTGCATCACCGGCGGTGCGGGTTCGGCAGCGCGCCGGCCGGTCGGCAGGTCGGCATCGGCTGCGCGGAATACCTGCGCCATTAGCGCGCTCAGCGAGTTAGCAACGTCCCGCGGAGTCGCATTGTACCGATGCACCGCTTCACTGACGGGGCGCCGTTGGCGGGCGACCATCACCTTTATAGTTCGGTGGTGGCGCTCCACGATTCCGTTGCCGCCGGCCTCGTGCGCTGTGCGAAACCGCAGCCGAACCCCCCACCTCGCGGCGAATGCAGCCATTCGCCGGCTCCGGAATTCAGTGGCAATGTCCAGCGGAAGCCCAGCCGGCGCGCCGCGTTCAAGGAACACTCGATGCAGGGATCAGTCACTTCTGCCGCGTCAGACCGTCGCAGTGCTCTCCAAATGCTGCACCGGGACGGACCGCAGTCTACGATCGTGAGGCAGAGGCGGCCTTGGCGATGGATCACGTCGATCGCGAGTCGGGTCCATGTTGTCCGCGACGCCGAGCGAGCCGGACCGCCAGAGTCGGTGCCGGGCCAATCGAACGGCATGCATCGCACTGGCTGACGACGGCTCGCACGTCGGCCAGTGCGACGTGTCCGCCGAGGTCCCGTCTGGCGTACCACAGGGACCGGCGGATCCCCCGGTGCCCCGTCCGTTCGTGTATGCTTTTAATCCGGCCACGAACGTCGCTCGCCGCGGGCTCGTGAGCGGCTTCTTGGTCCGCCGGGGGCGCCGCGACTTCTTCCGGCCCGATAGTCGCGGAGACCGAAGTTGCATCTCGCGAGGATGTGAAACATTTTGGCGCGACGGCTGCTGCGGCTGAAGTCGCATCTCGAGGCTCTGCTCGCAGTCAGGTCTGGGGAACTCGGGTGAGCGCGTCGGCAGGATTGTATTGTGATCGCACCAGCTGGAGGGTCACTGAGAGCTGGAACTCGTCGACCAACTGTCGCGTGGGGCCGATCCTGCGTCTGATCAGCATCTCTCTTACGCCTTTGTTCTGAGACGAGAGCGTCCGCTCAAGGCGTCACTCAACCGCTTGAACACTGTGGCAGAGTCCGTGCGTAAGCTGAAGCGCTTAACGCCCCATGCCAGGACCATGTTCACGCCACTCATCGTCGCGTCCAACCAGGCCATGTTGATGTGGTCCGCCGCCTTGGACTCTGGCCGGAGCCACGCGGCATCCTCGAGAACGCCGCCCTCCGCATCCTCCAGGACTACCCCGTTCGCGATGGCGCTCGCATCAGTCCACACCACGAGCTCCCGGCCGACCATTCGCCACGGCCCACGAGCAGGGTCAGCCGTCCTCACCCGCGCTGCGACTTCCCGGATATGCGCGCGCAACGCATCATCCGACACTGGGTCGTCCCACCCGATCGTCAGGCCGTTCACTCGCCTCTTTAGCCAGGCAACTGCTGGCCGCAACCATCCCGCCACGGGGAGGAGCGCCACCAACTGCCCGCACCATGCAAACACTGCACGCCGGGTGAGCTCGGTCGGCGGTGAAGGCACCTCATTGTCCCGACACCACTGCAGCTTATCATCCCGAGCCTCGACTCGAAGGCCGAGCATTCGCGCTCCGTCCGCGACGCGCTCCGGCGGTTTGCAGGCCAGCCCGTACCTCGCAAAGTGCTCCACCACCTTGTCGGCACTGACCACGTCTTCGTCGAGCAGGTCGTTCACATAGGCGAGCACTCCCCGGCTGATCGCTTCGTTCTCATGCAGGACAGGTCGAGTCTTAGGTCGGGTCTGGACTCGTTCAGGACGGGTCGCCTTGCCCGTCGCGCCTGTCGGGTTCCTCGTCCTTCGTGTATTCTAGCTGCTGCCGCCGCCGCGCCGGCACGTTCGTCGCTCAGCACTGCCCGGGCTCGCACCAGGATGCTCGCGACTCAAAGCCTCCGCCCGGGAGCCAGCGCAGACAGTCCTCCACACCTCGTCAGGCGGGCCGGGGTCAAAAGCGAACGGGAGCACGTTTTCCGGAACCTCACCGCACAGCGCTGAGAGACGCCGTAGGTCCGCCAGGAACACATCAGGCGACTCACCAGGCAGCAGCCGTCGGCTGGTATATGCGTCGTACGCCGCAAACCGATCCATCGCAAAGGGGTCATAGAGAGCGTCACGCACGGCGTCACTCGACGCGCGCGCCTCCTCCGGCATCCGCAGCCAGATGGCAAACGCGCCACCCGTGAGTCACGCCGGCAGAATGCTGGGAAAGTTCGCTCCACGATGACGGCAGAGCACGGCCGCCCCGTGAACCACTCTACGACGTCGGCCGTGCCATCGTACTAGGGGATGAGTCGCGCGTCGAATGGGCCTCCACCAGTCACCGCGGCCCCTCTGTTCACTCCGGCCGTAGTAGTCACTGGCGCTAGGACAGTCGCAGCAGCCGTAGTCACAGCGTCGCCGCTGGCCGCGGCGGTTTCGGGCATGATGGCCGAAATAGCTTGTAAGAGAACGTCGGGCACATTCGCCTGGACTCGTCCAAAGACCGACTGCCGCCTGCGAGCGTCTGGTCCCTGCCGCCGCCTCCGCGGCCGACCCTTGACCCCCGGAGAATCGGGAGACCCGCGGTCACGTGACGCCCTCTGGCACCCAATCAGATGCAGGACTCGGAAGACAGCGAGGCTGCCTCCGCGACAGGCCGCCGCCGCCGCCGGGTGTGCGTCTTCGGCCCTAAAAGCACATCGCGGGGGCCGCGGCCGCCGTCCCATGGGTCCGTCACCGGCGCGGCCGCTCCCACGAGCTCACAGCCCAAAACACGACTAACTGGTAGCTGGTAGCACACCCGCAAGTAGCACACTGGTACTGGTAGCACATCCCGCAAAATCACACCACATAACATGACACGATGATTTCTTTACTTCGTTCCTCACAAACGAGCGCATAAGATGATTTTATTTGGCTGAGGTTGATCCCACATGCCCTGAACAATGGTAGACGGAATGGGGCACGAAAATCTGCTGGTAGGCCAGGGCGGACCAGCCCCGGCTAAGCGTGGGCCACCTAACGCAGACCATGGCCGTAATGCACGTCGGAAAAGCATGCGACACGACACATGCTCACCTTTTGTGCTCTGCTCTCTTGCTCATGCTCTGCCTCTTTTGTGAAGGTCAATAAGCATCTGGATAGGGAGCACGCGCGTACTTTCTACATACTTTGCCACGGATGGTATCGAATATCATATTTCCATTAAGCACTCGTCAATGTGGACTTTTGATGGAGCCACATAGCCATCACCGTGCGAAATGTCCTGCCTTTTCAGATAATCCAAAGAGCACATGCCAGGGAAAGAATGTATTTGAGCTAGAACTCCGCACTGAGACATGAGGGGCGCAAGGCGCACGCCGAGTATGTAATGATGATGCATAGCCACAATGACGAAGCAGTGGAAAAACCCCATGCATTTCGTTCTACACGACGCTTGGAAACACTATCAAAGTCAAGCCTTCTGCGCCTTCCTCTCGAGCTCTTTCACCACCACATTGACGTCCATGTCCCTGTTGATCTTCAGAAACGTGCCGGACTTGAGTCGCATGACCTGCAAAAAGGCGGGCGCCTCCTGCGCCATCAGCTCGACGTGTCGCATCAGCTCGTCCGGGTCCGGGACGCTTCGGCTGCTGTCCGCCAGGCGCGCCACCGTCGCCTCTAGCGGCAGCGCGGCGCGGCGCTCGGTGACGAACGTGGCGCGCAGGCTGCGCGCCAGCTGCGGCAGCCGACCGAGCATGTCGAGCCGGCGGCTCTCGGTCGGCGAGCGCGTCATCAGTCGCTGCTTGCGCGCCGCCTCGCGCGCGCGAACCCTCGCCAGCAGCCCGGTCGGCAGCCCGCTGCTGGCCGCTGGCGGCACGGTAGCGGGCGACGCGTCTGCGGCAGCCGGGGCGACCGCCTCCGGCACTGGCTCGGCGCCAGCCACCGACTCCAGACACTGCTGCAGGTGCGGGTACCGGCTGAAGAGCGTGCGGGCGCGCTCGAGCACCTGGCGAGCGGTGCCGCCCACCTCGTCGGCAGGCGGGGCAGGCAGCGGCGCCGCCACCACGTCCGGCACAGCCTCCAGCTGGAAGTCAGGGTGCCAGCGAGTAATAAGCGAGGCCTCCACCGAGACAGGCGGCTCCAGAGACTGCAGGAACTCGTTGTGGTGCTGCAGCATGATGTCCAGCAGGGAGGCATGGAAGATCCGGCTCCGCTCGATTAGCATGGACGGCAGGAGTTTGCGGTATTCGGAGTGCGCCGGCGGCTTCTCACCAAAGCCGGCAGCAGACATCTTCATGTCTGAAAACAGGTACATGTAAGCACCAGACAATAGGATACAATAAGGATACGCAAGCCATCACGCATCTAAAAATGCCGTTGGAAGTACAGAACTTCATGGCAACGCACGCAGCCAACAAACCGCGACATCTCACGTGGCCTTTTATCTTTAACAGAATCAACAATGGAAGCGCAAACACGTGCATGTGCCACAACAGAAAGCAAACACGCGGCGTGGATGGGGGACACATCATTTCGCCAGTAATTTCACTGTCCAGAGCCCCCATGGATGAGGGCTCACGAGCCCAACGACGACCTGCCGCCCCGCTCCCCCCCCCCCCCCTTCCCAACTACAGCCATGAATGCCTCTCAGCCTCGGCCATTTTCTAGCAACTTTGAATCCAAAATATGAGGCTGTGGTTTCAGAGTTTGAGCCGTCCAAAAACATTTTAGTGGCATGATGTACGGCTACCTTTATGACACATTCAGGACAATGTAAAACATTCAGACGATCTTCTCCGCACCACCAGCAGATGGCGGCCACAGAAGGCATCAGCTGGAGCGCCGCGTAATGAATAATACTATCGATGACGACACTAATTTCATAACTACAGCAAAAACGTAGAGCTTGAAATATTACCCAGAAGAGGAGGAATCATGGTTTTTGCCCTCACCTCCCCCCCCCCCCCCTCCTTAACACACGTGATATTCCAACCCATCACCCAGTTCAAACAGTGCAGCAGAAACACGCCCGATATATCTTACCAGATTCGAAATTTGTGTTGACTTCGATTGTTAGCTGCCATTTGTCCTTATTATCTGGAGTGACCTTGTGGTTTGGCAAGTTTTTCTCTCTTCTGAATATGTAAGCAAAGGGAAATACAGTCTTGATCTGGGCCAGCTGTGCCTCAGTGAAGTTCTTACTCAGCATTTCCTGCACAGATGCCTTCAGTTTCTTAAATGTGATGATCTCCTTCCTGTTGTGAAGGAATGATGATACAGTGTCCAGGCAGTGGAATGCCTCCTTCAGAAACCGGAACTTGTAGGGCAGGGTCAACGTCGACGGCGCATCCCTGAGAAGGTGCTGGAACCTCTCGTAGGCCGGAGTTTTCTCTGGTGAAAGAGCGCACTTCTTCGGCGTCTTCACTGGGCTTGACACCACAAATTCAAGAGGGGCTTTGGAAGCCGTGCTCTGTCCCTTCAACCCCACCCTCTGCATCTTACCGTCGAATTCCTTCAGTTGCAGTGATGCTCTGTTGAAACATGCCAACTTTTCCTTGAGCTGATCTATCTTGTTACAGCTTTTCAGCGAATCTTTCATCTTTTGAGGGGACATCCCCGCTGTTACCTTTGACGAGGGAGCCATTTTCTGAACCTGTTCCCTTGGGGCAGGTTTCCCTTCAGCGTCATTGTCGTCCGCGAACAGCCTGCGCTGAACCGCCTTGGGCGACAGCAGACCCTGGTGAAGGCTTTCTTCACGCACGCACTGAGCTTTGTTCGTCTCGGAGCTAGTTGCTTCCCTTGAAGGCCCCGCCAAGCCGGAGGTGTCAGGAGCAGTGCTGCTGGGTAGACGCTGCTTGGCCACCTCTCCTTTTGCATCTACCTTTCCTTTTGCATGGGCTCCAAGAGCCGTCAACACAGTATCTTTATTTTCATGGTATTTAACCTGCGTAGAAACCCCTGCACTTGAAGCCGCACTATCCAGTTTGAATCTTTTTGCGCCACTGCGCTTCTGATTTTGATCTTCTTTAGAGCAAGGATTGCGTCGCTTTCTTGGCAGGAAGAAGGCCTCCATCGCTTTCTGCGACATTTCCTCAACCGGTACTCTTCCAGGGTCACCGTCACTTCAAGTCCTGCGTCTCGGCGAAAACAGCCGTCCTCGCCCTGCCGGAAAATCAAAGTTCAACGCAGGTCTGACACGCGTAATGGCACCAGCATCCAACGGGAGACATTCTCGATTCTAAAGCTCAATACAAAATATGCTGCAACCTTATTTGGCTCGGTTCAGTGTGATTTGAAATCACTTCAATCGCCCCAGTTCTCGTTGCAAAATTTGAACGTTTTTCGCGAAATCGCGCCCATAACTTCAGGGTATCCAAAGGGATCATCCATTCCTGAGTTATACAACACACACACATTAACGGCAAAATACGTCAAATTGAAAATACCACGATTTTCAACGCCATCGGAAGCAACCGTCTGACCAGGGCATTCGTTATAACAAGAGAGCGCGTGGCTCCCTGGAAACCAACGTACGTGGGGCCAGAGGACTTGAATACTTTTGGTCTCATGGCTTGTTTCATGGTTTGTCTCCGTTACTTTTAAGTCATTCCTCGCGAACTTGGAAGATATTTGTTCCAACGGGTTGACAAGTTAAGGAAGCAGGCCGTCATTCTAGTGACGCAGACTCACACTGACCTTGCAAGTCTGCATCAAAGCATAGAAGTCGCGGACTACCAGCACAACAATCCGCCAAAATACGTAGATCCGTGCACAAATAGCCCACAAACTTGTGTTTGAAAACCTCATTACAATCAAGCACCGTCGCTGTCGGCGCAGCGAAGAAATAGACAGCCGATATGATGGCAAGAATACACGACTGATTATGATATTACACCCCAGCTCATGGTTCACTTTCTGTTGCTTCTCCCACCGCTCACGATTGGCCAAGCAGCATCGAGCCAAACGGCGGTCGACCCAGTATCTCGGCACTTCGGGCTTAGCGGGTCAAAATGTCAGGGTTCGCAGCCAATGGGCAACGGATGAGCAGCCGACGAAACATCTCAGGTGGAGGCGGGCGGAGAGTCAGAAGCCGGGAAGCGTGCACCTAAATTTCAATCCCTGACATTCGACTGGACGAATGTTCGGACCATGCATCCCCATCACTATCCCTGTCGCGGCTATCACGGTTGTCGCCACCGTTAACGTCAGCTGCCCGCCACCTTCATCGTTATGGCCACCATCACTCTATCCCCATATCCAATCTCTTCCCAGAACGCCTAGAAGCCCAAGCTCAAGTGACATGCAGTGAGGTTAGGCCGAAATATATTTTTTCTTACCAGTTTTGTTTATGTTATGCAGCGTCGGCCACACTCACACGGACAGCGTTTGTCAAAACACGTTCCAAACATTCTTTCTCCAGGCATTTCCAGGCATTTATACATTTTTCTCCATTGGTGTCAACTTCAAATTTTGTTCCATGAATGCACTATCACAAAATCAAAATTTTTGTTTAGCCTGCAGCCCCCCAATACAGGCAGTTATCACTGTCATATCATGCAGCCACACCTACATCTAGTAACAATATCTACAATAAACTGCAGTACTGCTGACTTCCTCTGCAGTACTGCTCATCTTCCTACCAGAAAACAATATTGATGGCATTCAGCATATGCGGAGGAACAGAACCTTTTGCCTAACTGCTCTTGCAGTAGTGCGGGCAGTTGGACACATGGGCCCATGCCCGCCGTAGACTCCAAGGGGCTGGTGTGCCCCTCAGGACCTGATTTGCAGGGCCTGATTTGAGGGCCCCCCAAGGGCTCAAAAGGCTGCCCCAAAGTCTTATTCAGGGGCCTCAGCCTGCATGGCCCAACACTCCAATCCCAGCCAGAGGGCCTGGTACACTGGTCATGGGCCCAAGTTGGTAAGAGCCTTTATGTTGGTCAGACAATACCAGTAACACACAGTCTGCTCCATCATAGCATGGGCCCAGGGACCCATTTCCCTTGCAGGAACAAAGTTGGAGCCAGTGATTTGCATTGGTTGGAGTCCTGGCATCTGTCAGAGCTCCATGATGCCCTTTTTACTGAGGGGCCCCTGGTTGGCCAGATACATTGTTTTAGAAGTCCCAAAGAGCCTGGAGGGCACTCTTTGGGTCAAACAATCAAGGGCCTGACTGGAGGTTATAAGCTCTGAAGAGATGGTTGGAGTCTTATTCAGGGGGCACAGAATGAGGGGAAGGGCTGTCAAATGAGTCAGAGGGTCCTTTGCATTGATTGGGGGACCACTGGGCCAATCAGGGGTGCCATATATATGCTGCCATGTGGTGATTAAGGCCAATCAAAAAACCATTGTTGAGTTGTTCCCATAAGATGTTCATGAACAATGTTTAGATATAACATCCCTCCATTTGCTCTAAATGAATGTTCTACAATGAATGAGGCCATAATCAAAACAATCACATATTGAGGAGCATATTTACTTCAGAGAAATTGTATTGCCTAGAGCAGTTCTTCCCCTTCAAAATATATGACCAGGTGTGACTGAGCTTGTATCATCATATCTGATGCTTGCTTTGGTGCCTTCAATTGCAGAACATTCTCTTTACCTGTTACCTATTCCTCAAGTATGGGTATCAGTGTATTTTGTGCACATGGAATAGTATGCAGAAAATCCATTGCATGCCATAACATTGTGCTGGTCCTGTCTGCACAAAACCCATCCACTTCACCAGACACCTACACAGTATTCAAGTGCTGAGTCTCACACTTGCATGCACCAAATATTAGCAGTGTTAAATTGGGCTGAATTTGAAATAAATTTGGTATAAAATGCCTTCTTGTTTTTGCCTGAAAATACCCTTGCAATGTTAGAATTCCTTTAATAGTAATATTCCTCTACACAACAAAGCTGATGGTAACTAAGTACCAAACTCTGAGCACTTGGATTTAGCATGTTCTGAAGCTGTTGCAATGATGTTACTGCTACATAAGACATTTTCAGCCTGACATGTATGTCCTGTAGTCTGAGAGGCAGCCCAAATTGTCAGATCATCTTTACCTCTGACACTGGATTATTGTTTGACATTGCTGCACCCTAAATCCTTGAAACATCTTCTTCATAAGCTCTGTAAGTGATGGCAACTATGGGCTAACCTCACACACGCTTCAAAGCCGTAGTAAGAACGTCACTGGCATGATGCACAAGTTCCACTGGTCAGGGTGTACTCTCCTACCTAACGTTAGACAAAATCATCGTGCACCATTCGTCTGTTTAAGGCAGAACATATCGTAAATAGAGTCCACGCGGTGGGCTGCGCTCGGGAGCTCGCCATCAAAGTTATTGAAATTTGAAGGTAGGAGCATGATTCTACCTGTTTTGAGATTCTTTACAATATGTGCTGCCTTAAGCACGACGAATGGTGTGCAATGATTTTTTGTAATGTTAGGTAGGAAAGTACACCTACACTGTTCCACCTACTATGCATTCATCAAAGTTTCTACTAGTGAAACCTTTAATCCTTTAATTCCATCAAAACATCAATACTGCAAACTGACCTCTAAAACTGAACATTGTTTCTCACACACTATTTCCTTTGGCATGCAATTTGGAGAATGCAATAATGGTTTATCTGAGATATTACCTCAGCTCATTTCGCATGGCATCAATGAACAATTAAGTAGGAAGCGACCTGGTAAGAAACTAACGAAAATGGTTTCAATGAGGGGGTCAGACTTAAATGTTGCATAAAGCCTATAAATATCGAGGAATAGCAAAGTATGCAGCCGCCGCATCTGCCTAGCCCGCACGCGCATATAGCCTTGAACTATTGGTCGCAGCACAAACGTGCGCAACGTAAATAAATATTAGCACTTGCCGAATTCAAACTAGAGGGTTAACACATTCCGACGCACACAACTAAAGCCAAGCAATACAGTTACCTCCAAAAACACCCACACCCGGCAAACGCGCAGAACCCCTATATAGCCTCACCGCGGACAGCCAACGCACACCACACGACAACACCGCCGGCCCAGCACGACTTGACCGCCGCTTTTCGCGCCGTTTTACACATTCGGCGTGGTTTTATGGGCGCGTTCGGCCAAGAGGTAATCTCGGAAAATTTTCCGGAATGGCATTTGGTGCTGCCAACACGGAAAATAATTTCACATTTTTTTGTACAGTAATTGCATGTAGGACAAATTTCCGTACCGAGGAAGAAGCCTGGGAAATTTTGAGAGCTTTTCAGAGCCTTTCAAGACGGAGGACCTGTTTTCGCTACACATAGCTATGACCGTTGGCTGTGCATGGAGCATGGGATACGAATCTGTGGGATAATTTCCGGACCGACCCAGGACAAATTAAGTATCTCTGTGAGCGACTAACGAGAAGATAATTATTCCTTAAACAATTTTACCGTAGCCGAACGCATCCTATGCTGACCCCAGCTTCCTACTAAATGTTCACCAAACAAGATTTAAACGCTACCAAAATGGACACCTCTAAACTGCATGAATCAAAACCAATATGAGCATTTTACGAAGTCGTTGACTGAAATGCCTGCATAAGTCAACAAATACACGGAGGGAACGTCCAGAAATAATATAACCAGACTGAATATCTATAGATTGGCTGAGGTTCCAACAAACCTGTGAAACAGCTTGCCGAAATATGGGTGATGATCAATTATATGTACCAGAATCCAGGATAATCAGCATACCTGCAAAAACGACCACATTTTAAGCCAAACTGACACCTGGCTTGCGAATGTTTTGGCGCACAGTTGCCATTATTCACAATGAAGTTGCGTTCTGAGAAGAGTTGGTGACTAACATTGAGTTCAACTAGCGTTATACTCACCTAAACATCCCGGGGCGCAGCCAGGTGGTGGGGAGGGGGAGAGAGGGGGCACAAAGAACATAACTCTTCCTCTAGGCCCTGAGGGCCTTCGGAACTCTCGGTACAGACTATCGAGGGCCCTATTGGAGCGCCCGAAGGGCTGGCTGGGGAATGATCCCGGGGTGAAGGCCTAGCCCTCAAAGGGCAGCCAGTAGGACTTGTTGCGCTTGCGGGGCCCCCGGGACGACGAAGGCGTCGATGTAGGTCCGAGGCCACCAATGCTGTGCGGTTAGCTCTGAGTCGACTTGGACCCTGGAAGCCCTTTTACAAAGCAGGGACATGGCCGATGTCTGCGATTGATACTGAAGGCCTCGTGCGTCGGCCGGGCTCCTGAAGCAAGGTGGTTCCCCATATCAATGCGCAGAGTGCTTAAAAGGGGACCCTGAGTTGGTGAGGGTCTCCTAGTCGATCAGAGGCACATTTTGGTGAAGAGAAGTAGGGCGAGACGCTGAGAATTAGAGAGCCACTTGCGCTGGGCGAGGTCTTCTTGTCTGACATGGGATGGACACGCGAGAAATGGCAGTGGAATGGTACACAATGAGACAAAAGACAGGCCTAGGCAGTCACGGGCTCCGGTACCAAACAGGGGCCTTCAGAGTCCCTGGCCCGGGCTCTGTTTGGCTCGAGGCCCCCGCTTGAGCTGGAGGTCAGGTAACCTTAACTACTGTCCACATCCATGTCCGGTTGGCTTGTTTTATTGTTGTCAGAATTGTCTTTAAAACCTTTCTGATTCGATGACTTTGAGATCAGAACTCACACAAAGCAGAATTGTCGTGTGTGTTCTGGCATTTCACCTTTCTATTGAAAAATTTCAATTATACTGCGGAACTTTATGGAAAAAGCGGTTCGTACGTAACGCTTGGCACGGTTCCCTTGCCCTTTGACACTTAGACATTGAACAGCCGCTGCCACCGACCGCAGGTCATCCAAGTCAGAAGTCCAATAGCGAGCGTACAAAGACGAAGCCAGGATTGAGAATCCAGAGGTCCAATCTCACCCTACCGCCATCTTCACGTGATGAGTTCTCACTGAGACGCCCCTTCCCGTGTTTGATTGTCCTGGATGCGCCTCTGGGAGCACGCACATAGTGACTTGAACCCCCATGCCGTCACGGGTGGGTTGGGTTCCCCAGGAGCTGATGCCAATCAAGCTACGGGGGGCAACAAGCTGTTACTTTAGGCTACGATTTAATTCAGTCTGGTGTTTGTTCATGTACTTTGATTCATTCTTTTAATCGGACTTTTAAGCACTGATGCCTGATCTGTTCACGACAACAGATTTTAACTTGCACCATTCGTGATGACTCAGCATTCTGATGATAAACTGGCCGTTTCGGCTCGCTGATTCAGTTGATGATTTGACTGTGCATTTTGGTAATGGAAGTGGTCATTTTGGTTGTTCAGTTAGCTTTGTTCCGTTGACATCTCCTGGGCAAAGATCAAACGGCTAACAAAACCTGTTGATAACACTGTGCTCCAAGCCTATGGTAAGGATGGACACCAAACCTTCACCATCCGATGCCACCTGGTAAATGAAGTCTCCCTTCTTAAGAACATGACGACCTTTGGTCAGGTTAAAGGCCACCTAAAGCACAACAAGCGGAAAAATAAAGTTGCAGACAACCTTATCCTCCCAGCCCATGGGAGTGATGTGCACAAAACCTTCGCCAATCGAAACTCCATACCCGGTATCCTATCATTTCCAGCACATGGCGACCTCGTGTCACGTCAAAGTCACCAAAAACGCCCATAGCCACCAAAATTAGCTGCAGAAAACCCATTGCTCCGGACGTTTAAGACCCATCGGCATAAAACCTTTACCAGTCGATGCGCTATGAGTGATGACCTATTCTTTTCAGAACATGTTAACCTTGGGCAGAGTCAAGGTCCTATAACAAGGGTGGAGTCAAAAATCGCCGAAAGCGCCCAATACTAGGTGAAATTAGTTTGTAGACAGCCCCATCACCGAGCCTTTGAGACCAACTGGCACAGAAACTTAACCAACTGATGCGCCATGAATGGTGATAATCTTTTCTTTTCCAGAACATGGTGACCCTGGATCAGGTAAAATATCACCAAAAAATCCGACGACTTCACCTAAAATTAGTTTGCAGACAACCTCATGCTAGGAGCCTATGGAAAAGATCGGTATAAAACCGGCTCTTGTTTTTAGCTACATTCAGGCAGGTCAGGCGGCAAGGTTAGTTTCGAGGATGTGTGTGGAACCTGAGGGAGGCCAGCCTCAATGGCCGGTTGTGGTTTCGTTGGCCAGATGTCTTTTATGTCTCTGTCTTTTGTTCGACATGTTCTTGCCGGGAATGAACATAATGAGAAGGCCAGTTTTCTGGCTGATGGTCGTCTCCTTATGAGAACAAAGACCGAAGCTCAATTTGAAAAGATTCTGAAGGCAAAGACCTTCCAGGATGAGGAAAGCGATGTGCAACTAGATGTCAGGATGAACACTTCAGAGGTAACTATACATGCACAAGGCTTATCGGACTTGACTGAAAGTAATATTATTGGCTGGTTTGAGGAATTTGGGATGCCTGGAGAGATGGAGAACAACTGTTCTTCAGGAAAAGAGAGGCAAGGTTGAAAATACTCCATTATCTGGCCGACTTTGACAGAGAGAGGCTGGTGCGCCTTCGGCGAGTTCTGCGGAGGGGGGAATTTAAGAATTAGGAAAAGTGGGCGGAAAGGTAAGAAGAGGGAGAGGAGGAAGGGAAAAGGCAGCGTAGGTGACAGGGCAACTCCCAAGCACCAAATTGATATATGTTCCAGTCCACAAAGTCATCTGCATCACCTTGGTTTTGTTGTTTGAAATCGCGTATATGACTGGCAGGTATCGGACCCTGTCGCGGCCGGCGGTTTCAACTGAACTACCCGGCACAGACCACTATCTGAATTTGAGTTCGTTTCTTGTTCGCGGGTAGGCACAGGGTCGGGCTTTGCGGTTGCCGACGGCGGCAGGCGTGTGATACTGCGCCGGCAACAGATAAACTTGGCCCGGGGTGAGTTCTGCGGCGACACAATCTTACCCAAACGAGACCATGCTGGCGGTCCCGCCCTTTGACAATTGCGATGAACGCTCTTCCCGTTGTAGGAGTTGCATACACGACCACACATCAACCCTGCACACGATTTATTTACAGGATAGGCATTTAGCCATAGCTCACAACGCAGTTGTAACTGAGGTGGACTTGGCGTTATGGCATGCCTTTGATCTAGACTCATCTTAGTGACGGGTCAGGATCTTTACATTAGGTTTAAACTATTATGTAGAGGGCATGCTGCCATCTTTCTCAACATGACGGCAACATTTCGCAAGTTGTGAAGTGCATTTGCGAGGAACATTATGCATATAGATAAGGCAGTATTAATAGCGTTATTCCTCAAAGAACAACGAGGAAAATGGAGAGATAAATGTGATATTTCGGCTATATGCGTTCATGAAATAGAATATCCGTAGCAAATTCAAAGTTGTCTGCTGATCCTGCTCGACTTTTCAGTTTTTTTTTTCTCAAAAACAGCGAGCCACAGTTTTTACAGACCACCAACACGCAGTGGACTAAACAAGGAGTCGTTGCCAGTCATTTCTGCGATACAGTGCACACCTAACTGGTAATTAAAATACGCAAAAATACGTGTACATGCAAATAAATTCAAGTTAGCAGGCATCACGCATAACACATCATTTACTTCCGCAAGCGATTTCAAATATACAGACATCTCGCATCACACACCACTTTTACATGCAAGCGATTGCAATTAATCAGACATCGTGAATCAAGCGTCAGGCAACAATGCTACATGAAAGTGATTTTAAGCCAGCATGCATAACACATCACGACGCTAGTCAAATCCACAAAATCGTTAAAGATGCGTCCTGTACATTAAAGTCAGGTCGCCAACTTCTCATAGAACAGATTCACCACTTTTCCTGTCTGGATGGTACCATGCCTTTTCTTTTTCTTCTTTTTCTTATGTTTTCTTCCAAACGGTCTGGACGGTTTACCGGCGGCCAAGGTGCAATTTCCGGTTTTATGTCTTGGAGCTAGTTCCTGGCGGTTTCCATCCATTGTCGTTGCCACACTTTTTTTGCTAAATTGTGGATGACCTTTTTATTGAAGTATGGTCAACAGGGACTGGTGTTGT